CCCCCCCCCCCTCCCACGGGGTTTACATTGATAGGTGCATTACGTTAGCAGACTAATTACGCCCTCGATTCTCGCGACAAGCAGCCTCATCGCTCGCGTGCTTAGGTTTCACGTGCAGTAACTTTGCAAGGAAAAGTAAGAGACTGCTCGCAGTCTAGCAGACTCAAAGAGCTTGGTCTACCGGTGGTTGGAACAGCCTGTTTTGTAAATGCAACCCATGTTTGATTCGTGGGTGGAAAAACGCGCGACATCGCTTTCCAACTGGTTTTGCAGCAATGCTGCAGAACAAGTTGCACGTTTTTGTCGCCCGTTTTACCGTACCTGAAATAAGAATACTGAAAAATTGATCTTGGCATACCTTAGCCCAAGGCTTTCCCTGCAATGTGTGTAGTTTATCAGAACTGTTTTAACATTCGACTTGAGTACCAACTTTCCTGAAGAAAGAAACTCGAAAGTACGGCGGAATGGAAATCTTCCCACCGGCATCTCGACAGAAACGACCAACTTAAGTTATCCGTCATGAAACATCTAATTCCTCCGAGATTCACTGAGATCTTCCATGATCTTTTCCCAGTGAAATAAGGTTACATGAAGTCATTCATGAAGTCTTCAAGGTTCTTTTCCGCTGAACACAAGTTCAGTAAGCTAGAGATCATGTAACAAACTATGAACGAATAATTGCTGATGGGTAAATGCCGCTGAACAAATCATCGCGAAAATCCAAGATGGCGGACAAAAGTCGGCTTGTTTACAAGGCTGCAAAAAGATTCTTGGATCGTCAAGCTATAGGGGAGAATGTAGGCAAATTTGCTGTACAACGCACTATTGAACATTTAAAAAGATGTAATGTTGTCTTAAATGAGGATCTTAAACGGATGAGAATTAATCTTGTTGAACCCGTTGAGAAACACAACGTCGGTGCACAGTGAGTATACTAGTATTAAATTAATGGTAAACGGTTTTGTCGCCCGAAAGTTAACTCGCCAGAAATGCTGAGTCATGTCGCCCGAATTTTATCAGGTGAAGTGTACAGAGAAACAAAGTTAATTGATTTTTGTAAAATAAAGAGTTTCTGTAATAAGTCTCGTTCTTTACCATATCATGAGACGAAACAAGCAGAATGAATGTGTAACATACCTCGTTCTTTAAACAATGATGAGACGGAAGTAGGGGTATAAATGTGTAATATATCTCGCTCTTTAACCCTTGATGAACAATGAAACAAGCGTGATAAATGTGTAATGAGGATGCTAGGATGTTTTTGAGCATAAAATTTGGAGCCATATAACTCTGCATTTCTGGGGACTTGACTTAAAATTTCGGGCGACATAACTTCGGGTGAGATGTTTTTTCGGGCGACTTGACCTTAAATCATAGTAATCATATCAGTAACATTGAAAGTATTGAGCCCCTATATTGGTACCTGTGGATGCTGATTTCATTGCACGCTTTCCATCAAATCTTGTTTTTCAGGCGAAATCTTCACAATATTAATTAATATAAGAACAGGCCACTTCTGAGTTCCAAGAACCCTCATAAAACAAGAGAATATCCTTTCTTGTGAAAATCAGTTTTATTCGCGGGAGAGTGAAAAAAATTTCCATAACAAAGGCTGGCCACTTACATGTAACCTCGTCATGATACAGAGGCCCAGGGGAACTCGGAAATGGCCTGTTTGTTTGGGTATGTGGTAATGCTACCAGCAAGCTCAGTGCAACTACAATGCCGCGCAACCACAAAATATAAGTATAACAACACTGCATTACACTTTTTTGGTAGGTTATTAAGCTGTCTTTGCATGACTAACATTGTCAAACTTGATTGAAATGGCAATGCAATCTTTGCTTTAATCTCTAAGGAAACCAGTCATTTTGGTGTGAACTCAGCTGGGAAATGGCACAGAAATGTTGTTCACTCTGTATAGTTTGTTTGTGAACAAGAAAAACATTTTGGGTGAACAATCTCCTTTCATTATATTATATTATAAAGCCAATGGAGTGAAACTGTGCAGACCTCAACCTTAGGGGGAAAGTGTGTAAAGTAATTTACATGCTGTAGGTGACACATAACCTTTTTGCTGGACGCGCTGGTGTCACNGTCAAACTTGATTGAAATGGCAATGCAATCTTTGCTTTAATCTCTAAGGAAACCAGTCATTTTGGTGTGAACTCAGCTGGGAAATGGCACAGAAATGTTGTTCACTCTGTATAGTTTGTTTGTGAACAAGAAAAACATTTTGGGTGAACAATCTCCTTTCATTATATTATATTATAAAGCCAATGGAGTGAAACTGTGCAGACCTCAACCTTAGGGGGAAAGTGTGTAAAGTAATTTACATGCTGTAGGTGACACATAACCTTTTTGCTGGACGCGCTGGTGTCGCATTACAAGCTAAGAAATACAATATTGAGATCTGTGGATGCTAGAAAATGTTAAATCTTAACTTTTGTTCAACGAAATGTATAAAAAAATGACTTACTTCTGATGTGTAGCACTTTGTTTTGGTGTTTGATCATTGTTCAATGGATTGTTAGGCTGAATAATTGCATAACCAATGTAACTCCCTTCATAAGATGAAGTCAAGGCTGGTCTTAGTGATCTGACACCTCGCCAGGGTGACAATTGACACTGACATGACGGTTTGATGGGCAAAAATGCTTTGTTATAGTAACTGCTGCTTTACCCACCACCACACCCTTGCACCTATTGTGTCAGTGTCAATTATCACCCTGGCAAGGTGTCCAATTTCAGATGCAAATTAGGTAGTAAGCACAAAGGCATCCAAAAGGTACTGGAGGAAAGCCAGAAAGACCGTGAGGTTTGGTGCAAATGGCTTGATTTGAATCTTGCAGAGAGGAAGAACAGGTTTCCTTCTTGGGCCGGAGCAGAAAACATTTGCAGTGGATTTGAATTTCAGCAAAAAACAGCATTTTTGTTGCGACTGGTCCATGACCCTGCCAGATCGCAATGACCAACCTTGTCATCAACCTTGTCCTTGTTGTCATCTTGAGTTAAGTAATGTTGTTTACACAATTCCGGCCAAAAATCCGTTGAAACAACGAAAAAACACCAAAACACAGTGGAATTCATCAGGGCTGGGTTCCTTGAAAGATGGTTAAGTTTAACCCAGCATTAAGCCAAATTTTAAGCAAGGTTGTTTCGTCTCAGAACATACAACTTGAATTTTCAAAATACTGTTGAGTCGTTACTCCAAGATATAGTAATAAAATGTTACTCTAAGCAATACATAGGAAAGTATAATATAAAAACAAAACAAAACTTTAATCCTGGATTAGCACTTATCTGTAAGTCATTTTAAGTAAGTCATTAAGTAAGTCATTTTATATTTCCTTGAACAAAAGATTTATAGATTTAGCTTTTTTTTTTTTAGCATTTGCAGCTCTCAGTATCATACTTTTCAAACTACCGTATTTATTTGATTAACCGCCCTGGGCGCTTATTAAATTTTTGGATCTTTAGAGTGGGCGTTTATTCGCGGTGGGCGCTTAGTATATTTTGCAACAAAACAATAAATGGTACTAACAAAAAGTGAAGATGTAGCAAAGCAAGGTTTCTTTAAAATACTCCGAAGAAAACTCCGTCTTCGGGAGGGTCTCTTATTATCTCTTATTGGAGTTTTTGTGGGAGGGAGTGGGGTGTGGTGGGCGCTTCTTCGAGGCTGGGCCATATTGACGTTTTCTGCCTTTAGCATGGGCTCTTATTCGAGGTGGGCGCTTATTCGAGGTTGGGCGCTTATTCCAATAAATACGGTAAGTCTCTTATTTTCAACGGTTGCTTGTAATGTGACACCAGCAAAATGGTTACACGTCACTTATGGCATGTAAATTGTTTGGGTCAACTTTTGGTCAAACCTGTAATAAATGGTCCATCCGTATTAAGCGATCAGTAAGCCATTCCCCAAGGGTGACTGCAGCTCAGTTCAGGTTTGACTGTAGCTTGAAGCTTGTGCAGGTTCTTCTTAGGCCAGTTTTTGTGCCAGTTTTAACCTTGGTTTCATTTAGATTTCTTTGGAAAGTAAAACTTATATGGGATTTGTTTTGTTTTCAGTCGTTTTTTCTGGGAGAACTTTCCACAGCTCAAGTTTAAGAACCCACATGTTAAATTTTCAAGAGTGGGAAAGAAATCACAAATATCTGACGAACTTATGTTACAATTTGGTAAGTCTGACTCAGCCCTGTTGGGTTATTTACATGTTGGTTGTCTATTAAAGGATTAACACACTTGTACAGTACATACCTCACTGTTAAGCAGTAAATTTAAGAAAAGTTCGGTTAAAGACAAAGATTGTGTTGCTTTAGTTAAGCTGGTCACAGGTTTGAAGTAATAATATAAATTGTATTATATTGACCAGAAATAGCAGGGACAAAAAAATTCTTTTCTTATTACTTCAAAGGAAACGGAAGAGAGGAAAAAATATTGATAATAGACAAGAGTCCCTCGCAGATAATGCAAGAAGTAATCAAAATTGGTACAACATCTGCCACAAGGTAGGATTTGTGATGTACACAATCATACTGGAGAATATATGTCTTAAACAATATTTGCAACTTAATGAAGGTCATGATCTGCCATCCTAGTCACATATTATAAATGGTGATTCCTTCAATTGTTGCTGCAACCTACATTTAGATACATACATGCAATGGTTTGGTTGCTGCATCAAACTGTTTTGTGGAAAGGTCGAGATCTTTCATTTCAAATTGACCGTGTTTATAATAATAACCACAACCACTTATATGAGCAGTGGTAAATTGTCTGGCATGTTTTTGCTGTTACAATCATCAAACGTCATTATTTCTCCCTGATTTCTGCCTGCTAATAATAAAAAGGCACATTATTGTTTCATGCTTCTTACTGATTTTTGAGTGCATTTTTTAGATTTTCTATTACTCCTAACTGTTAATCAAGTCATGTTCAATTCAATAATAATTGTTCATTTACATTATTGAATTCTTGTTTCAGAGGTGAAAGCCCAATTACAGATGAAGACACGTAACAATATTTTTTGAAAGTTAGTTCCTTTAATCTGCGAAAAAAAAGTACTAAATGACTTGTGTAAATGTAAATTTGTGCTTAAAATTACCAAAAGAATAAGCCTCCTTGTTATCAGAAGAGATTGCTAAAAATGGCTTTTTGGTTAAACTATTTGCCCATCATGCTTTGAAGGCATATTTTTTTGGTGCCACCTATGAATTGGACCTAATCAAGAAACACCCAGGACAGCTGGATTAAATTATATATATGATAAGAGGCATTTCTTTGCAACTTTCATAACATAGAACTACAACTGTACAAGTATCTATGGACTAAAACTCCAAAAAAAAACAAAAACAAAAAACGGAATTTCAAGAATGTGCTCATAGTATTAGTTTTTTTCCCAGACATTCTTTTCCTGTTTAGATCAAAATTGGTGCATTAAATAGAGAGACTGAGTGTTTACAAAGTCACTACTAACAATAACACTGAAAAGATCAAAGGCATTGTCCATACAGCCTACAGCTGTAATCCAGGGTAAAATTGTGTCGCCCTCCTCAGTTAAACAACTCCATTAAAGTTCCAAAACCATTAACATTAAAGGGGACCAAGGCTCCCTAGCTTTGATAACTGTCACTATTGACTCTGACTAAAACTAATTATTCTGGTATGAATAAACAAAGTTCTACGACTGTATGAATGAGCCTTACACACAGGAATCAGTATGTGTTTAGTGTTAATTTTGTGAAAAAAGCATCTCATTTTGTTTGCCATCATTAAGTAGCATGTTTAAGGCTCTCACTTAATTGGGGTAAGCAAAAAGGGAGAGAGAGACCATGGAGCAGACCAGCTATTACCATGCGAGCAGAGGCCCTTTGANATTGCTAAAAATGGCTTTTTGGTTAAACTATTTGCCCATCATGCTTTGAAGGCATATTTTTTTGGTGCCACCTATGAATTGGACCTAATCAAGAAACACCCAGGACAGCTGGATTAAATTATATATATGATAAGAGGCATTTCTTTGCAACTTTCATAACATAGAACTACAACTGTACAAGTATCTATGGACTAAAACTCCAAAAAAAAACAAAAACAAAAAACGGAATTTCAAGAATGTGCTCATAGTATTAGTTTTTTTCCCAGACATTCTTTTCCTGTTTAGATCAAAATTGGTGCATTAAATAGAGAGACTGAGTGTTTACAAAGTCACTACTAACAATAACACTGAAAAGATCAAAGGCATTGTCCATACAGCCTACAGCTGTAATCCAGGGTAAAATTGTGTCGCCCTCCTCAGTTAAACAACTCCATTAAAGTTCCAAAACCATTAACATTAAAGGGGACCAAGGCTCCCTAGCTTTGATAACTGTCACTATTGACTCTGACTAAAACTAATTATTCTGGTATGAATAAACAAAGTTCTACGACTGTATGAATGAGCCTTACACACAGGAATCAGTATGTGTTTAGTGTTAATTTTGTGAAAAAAGCATCTCATTTTGTTTGCCATCATTAAGTAGCATGTTTAAGGCTCTCACTTAATTGGGGTAAGCAAAAAGGGAGAGAGAGACCATGGAGCAGACCAGCTATTACCATGCGAGCAGAGGCCCTTTGATCTTCCTAGATACATGTAAGTCGGGAAGAGGAAGACTTACCTAGGATGATTGAAGGGCCTGTACTTGCAGGGTAGCTAGTGATAAATGAGAGTCAGAAAATCAATTTCTCATAGACATTAAGTTAAATGAAGTTTCTTACATTTCATTAAATTTTTATGAAATCTACAACTGGTTTTCAGACAACAATTTTTCCATGGAGTTTTGATGGTTTTATTTCATAAAATATTTGTCTCTACAATAATAATAAAAATTTTTGTTCTTTAAATATAATTTTATTCATATTGTATTGTTTATTTACTTTGTGTACATTATTCTGAAGGCAAATATACTCCTCAGTGCTCTTTTGGCCTGACACTGAATATCCTGATTGGTATGATCCAATAAGCCCATTAGTTCACCATATAATACATTAACATGCTCTGCCAACACTGTTTGTTGTAGCTGCAAAAAAAAAAAAAAAATAAAAATTAATTTACATGCTGTAGGTGACACATAACCTTTTTGCTGGACGCGCTGGTGTCACATTACAAGCTAAGAAATACAATCTTGAGATCTGTGGATGCTAAAAAATGTTAAATCGTAACTTTTGTTCAAGGACAATGTATAAAAATGACTTACTTCAGATGTGTAGCACTGTGTTTTGGTGTTTGATCATTGTTCAATGGATTTTTAGGCTGAATTGCGTAACCAATGTAACTCCCTTCATAAGATGAAGTCAAGGCTGGTCTTAGTGATCTGACACCTCGCCAGGGTGACAATTGACACTGATATGACGGTTTCATGGGCAAAAATGCTCTGTTATAGTAACTGCTGCTTTACCCACCACCACACCCTTGCACCTATTGTGTCAGTGTCAATTACCACCCTGGCGAGGTGTCCAATAAATTTCAAAATGTAAATTAGTTGGTAAGCACAAAGGCATCCAAAAGGTACTGGAGGAAAGCCAGAGAGGCCTTGAAGTTTGGCGCAAATGGTTCGATTTGAATCTCGCAGAGAGGAAGAAGAGGTTTCCTTCTTGGGCTGGAGCAGAAAAAATTTGCAGTGGATTTGAATGTCAGCAAAAAAACAGCATTTTTGTCGTGACTGCATGGTCCACGATCCTGCCAGATCGCAATGACCAACCTTGTCATCAACCTTGTCCTTGTTGTCGTCTTGAGTTAAGTTGTTTAGCAATTCCTCCCCAAAATCCTTTGAAACAACAAAAAAACACCAAAACACAGTGGAATACATCAGGGCTGGGTTCCTTGAAAGATGGTTAAGTTTAACCCAAGATTAAGCCAAATTTTAAGCAAGGTTGTTTTGTCTCAGAACATGCAACTAAAGTTTTCAAAATACGTTGAGTCATTACTCCAAGATGTAGTAATGATAACACAAAATGTTACTCTTAGCAATACATAGGAAAGTAAAATATAAAAACAAAACAAACTTTTAATCCTGGATTAGCACTTATCTGTCTTTCAGGAACCGGGCCCAGAAGTAAGTCATTTTATACATTTCCTTGAACAAAAGATTGGATTTGGTTTTTTTTTTAGCATTTACAGCTCTCAGTATTATACTTTTCAAACTACAGTATAAAGTCTCTCATTTTCAATGGTTGCTTGTAATGTGACACGAGCAAAATGGTTACATGCCACTTAGGGCTTGTAAATTGTTTGGGTCACCTGTGGTCAAACCTGTAATAAATGGTCCATCCATATTAAGCGATCAGTATTAAAGCCATTCCCCAAGGGTGACTGCAGCTCAGTTCAGGTTTGACTGTAGCTTGAAGCTTTCTGCAGGTTCTTCTTTTGAGTGCCAGTTTTAACCTTGGTTTCATTTAGTTTTCTTTGGAAATTAAAACTTATATGAGATTTGTTTTGTTTTCAGCCGTTTTTTCTGGGAGAACTTTCCACAGCTCAAGTTTAAGAACCCACATGTTAAATTTTCAAGAGTGGGAAAGAAATCACAAATATCTGACGAACTTATGTTACAATTTGGTAAGTGTGACTCAGCCCTGTTGGGTTATTTACATGTTGGTTGTCTAAAGATTAACACAGTTGTACAGTACATACCTTACTGTTAAGCAGTAAATTTAAAAAAAGTTCAGTTAATGACAAAGATTGTGTTGCTTTAGTTAAGCTGGTCACAGGTTTGTAGTAATAATATAAATTGTATTATATTGATCAGAAATAGCAGGGACAAAACAATTCTTTTCTTATTACTTCAAAGGAAACGGAAGAGAGGAAAAAATATTGATAATAGACAAGAGTCCCTCACAGATAATGCAAGAAGTAATCAAAATTGGTACAACATCTGCCACAAGGTAGGATGTACACTGTGATGTACACAATCATACTGGAGAATATAATGTCTTAAACAATATTAGCAACTTAATGAAGGTCATGATCTGCAGGGGCGGATCTAGGGGGAGGGTGCAGGGGGTGCGCACCCCCCCCCCTGCTCTGACCTGCAGTTTTTTAATACAACTGGTATTTTGCCAAAAAAAAAAAAAATGGGGTTTATTGGTTTTAAAGAAAAACAAAAACCGAGTGCCCCCCCCCCTAAAAAAAAAAAACAAGAAACAGACAAATGCACCGTATAAAAAAACAAAACCACAT